CATGGATGACAGAAAAAACACTACATGCAATAAAGAAAAGAAGAGAAGGGAAACAAAAAGGAGGTAGGAACAAACTAAAAATTATGAATGCAACAGTACAACGGTTTGTGCAGAAAGATGGAAAAAAAATACTGTAACGACCAGTGCAGAGAAATAGAAGACAACAAGAAAAAGGGAAGAACAAGAGATCTATTTCACAAGATCTGGGAAATCAAAGGAAAATTCAAACCAAGGACTGGGATGATCTATGACAATAAAAATAACATAATTCAAGAACAGGAAGGAATAAAAAGACATGGGATGCAATACACAAGAATTATACAAACAAGATGACAAAATGGACACATGGAATGAAGAGCCAGATGAAGATGAACCCCAAATTCTTAAAAAGTGAGGTGGAAAATGCAATAAGAGAAATAGCGAAAAATAAATCACCAGGAACAGATGATATTCCAATTGAACTGCTGCAATCCACACTGACAGAGTCAACTCTAGTGCTAACCAACATATCTCAACAGATATGGAAAACAAAATGATGGCCAACAGATTGGAAGCGATCAATATACATCCCTAGCCACAAAAAGGGAGACACAAGAGACTGCAGCTGTAGAACCATAGCCCCAATCTCCCATGCAAGCAAAATCATGCTCAAAATTCTGCAACATAGATTCCATAGATGGAGAGAGAAATCCCAGAGGTCCAAGCAGGGTTCAGGAAAGGAAGAGGCATGAGGGACCACATTGCAAACATACGATGGTTAATGGAGCGCACCAAGGAATTCCAAAAGAAAATCAGCATGTGCTTTATAGACTATAGCAAAGCCTTTGACTGCATAGATGATGAAAGGCAATGGAATGCCCTTAAAGGCATGGGAGTGTCAATACATCTGATAGTCCTAATGAGGAATCTGTACTCTGGACAAAAGGCTACTGTCAGAACAGAACATGGAGAAACAGAATGGTTCCCAATTGGCAAAGGAGTCAGACAAGGCTGCATCCTTTTACCCTAATCAGTTCAACTTGTATGCAGAACCTATTATAAGAAAAACAGGCTTGGACACAGAAGAAGGAGGAGTGGAAATAGGAGGAAGAAATATCAACGATCTAAGATATTCAGATGACACCATAATACTAGCAGAAAACCTCACAGACCTGAAACACCTACTAAGGAAGATCAAAGAAGAAAGTGCTAAGGCAAGCTTAATGTTAAACATAAAGAAAACAAAAATAATTACCACTGAGGACCTTCACAAGTTCAATCTAGCCAATGCAGAAATAGAAATAGTAAAAGAATTCCCATACCCAGGATCAAACATTGATAGAAATGGGGAATGCAGTCAGGAAATCAGAAGAAGACTAAGAATAGGGAGGGAGGCTATGAAAGAACTAAAAATTCTAAAAAGCAACTCAGCACAAAAGTTAGAATCATAAAAGCCATTGTATTCCTTATTACCATATAGGGATGTGAGAGCTGGACAGTTAAGAAAGATGATAGGAAGAAAATAAATGCATTTAAGATGTGGTGCTGGAGAAGAGTGCTGATGATCTCATGGACAGCCAAAAAGACAAACAAGTGGATACTAGAGGAGATCAGGCCAGAAGCCTCCCTGGAAGCCAAGATGACCAAACTGAGGCTATTGTACTTTGGACAAATCATGAAAAGGGAAGACTCTTTGGAAAAAACAATAATATTGGGAAAGGTGGAGGGAATTAGGAAGAGAGGAAGGCCACATGCTAGATGGATGGACTCTATTAAGGAGGTCATGGGTATGGGGTTGCAGGAATTAAGCAGAGCAGTGGGGGACAGGGGGTCTTGGAGAGGTCTCATCCATAGGGCCACCATGAGTCAAGATCGACTCAAGGGCAGTTAACAACAACAAAAAGAATATAAAGGAGGATCCTTCCAGCAGATCTCAGTCTTCAGACAAACATAGACAGGGAGAGCCACTCTTTCAAGTGTCTAGTTCCTAAGTGGATGATTGTTTTAAATGTTATCATTAGCATTTTTCACTTTGGCCAGAAACACATTAGCGCCCAGAACAATGACTTGGGGTTATATGGTTTTGAAGGATGACCCAGTCACCAAGCTAGCTGTTACATTTTGCATTAACCGCAGCATCTGGACCATCTTCAGAGGCAGCCTCTAATACTTCACATTGTAGTCTAATTGGGAAGTAACCAATACATGGACTACTGTGGCTTACTGTGCCCAGGAAAGGTCACAGATGGCAACCCCAAGAAGTCTTCCTGGGCCTCTGGCAATGAAGCTGGATCTAAGAAAACCCGTGGTGTTATGCAGCTGCTTCTTCAGTGAGAGTGCATTCCCATCTAGAGCAAGTCACTGAGCCAATTTCCTGACCCACAAACCACCAATCCACAGACACTCTATCTTACAGGGATTCAGCTTCAGTTTACTGGCCTTTCTTCAGCACATTACACCATTCTGGCACTGGTCCAATATCTACACAGCCCCAGCCAACCCCAAAGAAAAGAAACGCTGGGTGTCATCAGCAGAAACTTGCTTTAGACAATTTATCTACTATACAACTGACATATATCCCTAATTCTGTTCTGTGTTAAATATGTGAATAAATCAGCACTTACGATTGTTAGAAGCATCTCTGTGGTTTGTGCTGAAGGAAGATGTATGATGGCTGAGACCAGTGCATTTTGAGTGATCATCAGTGAACATTTGTGGACAAGCAATGTCCATGTTGAGGTTGACTTGATTTTCAGTAGTCCTTGGTAAACTTGAATTTGGCAGATTTATACCATGCTCACTGTCCTGGTAAACTATAGTTGAATTTGATCTGTTGAGACGGTTTAATGACATCTGTACTATGGCTTCATTTATGAAGACTTTCTCATCACAAAAACTGTCCGACTGATATTGTCTCATGATCTGAACACAAGAAAGCAAAAAGAAATCCAAGCAGCTCATAAATAATTTTCAACAAAACGGGAAAATCAGATGAAAAACACACTTTACTCCTATGTTACCATTAACTGAATACGGCGCAACAAAGTAAGGTTTATGTGATACATCTTATAGCAAGCTGTAGACTGTTCAAGATAGGCTCATTTCAACAAGGAACCATCTTAGTTCAATATTCAGACCTCGGTCAAATTTCTTCTCTTGGGCACTATAGCAATTGTTCTAATGGGTGCAATTGTTCTCCAGTTGTTATATTGGTAATATGTTGTGTTCTTCAAGGGCAGCCTTTTCTAATCCAGTGTTTACCAGATGGTTTGAACTACAACCTTTATCACTCCCAGATAGCAGAGTAGGGGCAGGCAACTTTCAGAAGTAAAGGAAACAGTGTGACTCCCCAATTGTTCTCACAAGAAAAAATATAATCCATTGCTGCACTAGCAAAAATTGTTTTAAAACAGCATGCGTAGAGAGTATGTACCGTATTTTCCGGCGTCTAAGACGACCCCCCATTTTTCCAGTCAAAATATAATAATAATAATAATAATAATAATAATAATAATAATAATAAATTTTATTTATAACCCGCCTCTCTGCATCACAATCGAAAATATAGAGTTTTAGCACCTCCATCCTCATTATCCTTATATCCGGCGTATAAGATGACCCCCCACTTTAGCCACAGATTTTGCAGGTAAAAAAGTAGTCTTATACGCAGGAAAATAAGGTACCTTATTTTGAAACAATTTCAATAAAACACATTCATGCTCTGACTTGGTTTCAGAACAAGTTCATGGCTTGTTTTCAAGTGAAGAGGCTTTTTTCAAAGTAAGTTTTGAGTTGTCATCATTGCCCGCCAAATGCACACATAAAAATGGGTGGAAGGAGACTATGGACCATTTCATACTACACAAATACAGTGCTAGGAGTCCAATTGCCACGGTTCCAACCTATGGATTCTTATGGAATTCTGGAATTCGCAGTTTAGGGAGGGGTATTTGGAATTCTTAGTCAGAAAGCAGTTTCACCTTGTGTGTGTGCGTGTGTGTGTGTTGCATGTCTTCAAGTCTTTTCTGGCTTAGCAACCCTAAGGAGACTATCATGGGGCTTTCCTGGCAAGTTTTGTTTAGATGAGGTTTGCTGTTGCCTTCACTTGAGGCTGAGAACAGGTAACTTGCTCAAGACCACTCAGTGGATTTCATGACTGAGCAGGCAATTGAACCCAGGGTCTCTGAAGTCATAGTTCAACACTCAAACCACTATGTCATGCTGGCTCAAGTTGTACCTTACCAAACTACAAAATTCTGGATTCCACAGGATGGTACCATGGCAGTTAAAGTGGAATAATATTGCTATAACTGTGTAGTGTGGAAGAGATCCAGGTGTATTGCCTGCCTCTGCTCAAGAGGCTTATGGGGATCCAGCAGGAGATTATATGCAGTGTGCTAGATATACCAAACAACGTTACTCTGGTGAAAATACTGCATACCTCATTGTTTCCCAATGAGAACACTGCAGGAAGACTATTTTGCCGGCTGTGCTTCCAGTGATGCATGATCTTTTGTTGCAGCTTGACTGTTTCCCGCTCCTTCTCCACCATTCTTTGGCTTTCCCTGAGTCTCTCCAGGTTCTGCTGGTAATCCTGCAGCTGAACATCCAGCTCTCCCCAGTTTTTGCAAAGAAACTCTTCTTGGCTCAAGCACTCCTTCTCCTTCTCTAGCAACAGGCTCTCTCTCTTCTCGTGCTCCTGCTGACGTTGCTCACACTCGCGGTGCCACCGTTGCTGCTCTTGCTGAAATTGGTGCTGGAGCTTCTGGATATTGACTAGTTCCTCCTTTGATTTGAAGTTCCGTTGTTTTTCTTGCTCTAGGAGGGAAGAGGGGCTGCGAGAACTGAGGCTCCAGGAGGATCTTTCATGTTCCTGCAGAAGCAACTTGTGGATCTCAATGTGAGTGTCCTGGATAGTTAAGGCTGCCTTTACATCAGAACGAAGAACAGCATCAATTTCCATCCATATCAAAGTTCGTTTGTACAAATGGCAAAGAAAAAAAAGTCTATTCCTCATGCAAGCTCACAGTTATATAATTAGCCCAAGATATAAATATCATCATCATCATCAAGACAACAGGCAGTTGTATAACTCAAGGGCAAAGCAGACAGGTGGCAAGGGGCAGCCTCAGTCTGCTCCAGCTGCACTCAGGCTAGGACCATGGAGTCCACATGGCCCATTCTCAAAGTGGGCCACTGCCATGGTCCCAAGCTGGCCAAGCACCCCCCCCATACTAGATCAGAATTTAAACCCCTAAATGAGAGATGTCTGGGAACTCTAGTGAAGGCCCAAATGAGGCATCTGGTGTGAGGAGCACTTCTCAAGACTTTACAACTCAGTCAGGAATTAGCTTACTCCCTTTCCTTTTTATTTTTGCATGGGGAGTAATTGAAGTAAAAAACTAGGACTTCCCACTGTTTATCATTGACTAGAGATAACAGCTGTGTTTCCTCTTACTAGTTCCCTTTGAAATATGGAAAGAGGCATTTGGAGAACCAGACTGCTTAATTTGATGTAATGAAGATATGGAGCTTGGAGGACTGTAACATGCCACACCAATTTTTCTTCCTTCAAGAGACAAGAGGGTTGATCTGCACCACCACACCCACCATTTTGAGCAGCTGAAAGTGACATTTCATTCCTAGAATTCTAATGTGGCATCTTTCCTGGGTGATTTTATTTTTGTGCCAATTTTTGTTCCAACCAAAGAGGCATTAACACTAAGTGATTAGTGAGAGAGAGGAGTCTAGGTAATGTCTGACTTTTGTTTGCACCTTTCTGTATCTTTCTTTGCTTTATGTACTCAAGCCTCTTGCTTTCTTCTAACTGCAGACATCACTTCCCCCTTTCCTCAAGAAAACTTTGTTTTCCTTTGTCTGGAAGGATCACCCAACCTCAGTAATGGATGCTAGCTTACAGATGCACATGAGAGCCAGCTTTTAGGGATTCTTGTAATCAGGTGTAGCTTGACTTCTTTTATCTTTTGTCTATCTCCTTTACTATTCTAAGATGGATTTCCTGAGATGATGAATGAATGACCATAAGGCAGCCTCCAGCAGCTATGGGGGCTGGGATCCAATCCTCTGGATCAGATCAAAAAACAGTGGATACAATCCGGATCCCGGTGGTGCCAGTTTGGGACCACAGCACAGCTTGTTTCAGGAGCTGGCTGTGCAATTGCCACAGCTACAGCCTCACTGCCGCTGGAGCGGCCTCTAGCCAACTCTTTACCACCTTGTGCTTTGGTTCTACATTTTTCTTTTTTTTTAACCTAACAAGAGCATCCAGAGTCTTTTCTCCTGTTTCTACCACGAGCTCATATTGTACTAACCCCTGCTGCACTCCACTAAATAGAGATACCAAACATCCCTACACATTTTAAGGTGATGCATCAGTGGTGATCCAGGATGGTCCAAGAGTTGTGCTAGATGCCCCCCCAGACCCATGTGCTGCCTGTAGGCTGCATTGATTTTGATCCCTGATGTACTGGAAACATTAATTGCTGCTGGTTTTTAACTGTGGATTTTCTTTTATAATGTAATTTACCCTGTTTTAACATTTTGTATTTTTTTTTACTTCTTTAGATAATTTGCCATGTGAGAACAAACAAATAAACAAAAGAAGTATTTCCCTATGTGTCTACATTTCCAATCTACAGCCAAATCAGACAGACTTCTGATAGATCACTTTCAAACTGTGACTATAAATTCTACTATAAAAATTTGACTAATGTAATAATAATGCACACACCACGGGCACACACGCCATTTTAAGTCCCCACGCTTGCTGTGCATGGAAGCTTAAGTCCGTGTATGGCAAGCCCGCATATGGAGCGGGCGAGCTGTACTAAAGATGGGATCTGGCTGGCTATTTCAAGAAAAAGGAGTTTTATCCATAGGCAGATGATGGCACATGTGTAATAACACTACTATATGTCTGAAAAATTGGAAAGTTGCTTTCAGGTTCCAATTACAAAGCTATTATCACCTGTATGCTGTACAAGAGGCGAGTTAAATTCTGGATGGTCTGTACAACCTAAGGTGGAAAAAAAGAAAGGCATTGGTTTTTTTCAGGTTTGTAATATATAGTATGTTTAAAGCAAGTAACACCAATGACTTGGGTAGAAAAAAATAACTCACCTCAGTTTGGGCTGAAGCAGTATAGCATGTGGTTCCTTCCTACAAAGACAAAATTATGTTAGCCCTTTTGTAGAAGTGGACTGCCATCTCCTGGTGAGCTTATTGTATAACCTTAAAACATTTGCAAAGTACCAATGTAACATGGTTTTATGTGGGTTTTTTAACAATAACAATAACAATAACAATAACAATAACAATAATAATAATAATAATAATAATAATAATAATAATAATAATAATTTATATCCCGCCCCTCTGCAGAGCAATCGGGGCGGCTTACAACATTAACATTTACATAACGATAAATTAATTTAATGCTCGGTTGATAAAAGTATTGAGGAAAAGAAGACAGAGAATTCAGCAGGAGTACATGAAAACAACTATGG